CTCTCACTCTTGTCTCTCTCTATCTCTCACTCATGTCTCTCTCTATCTCTCACTCTTGTCTCTCTCTATCTCTCACTCATGCCTCTCTATCTCTCACTCATGTCTCTCTCTTTCTCTCACTCTTGTCTCTCTCTTTCTCTCCTCTCACTCATGTCTCTTTCTCTCACTCTTGTATCTCTCTATCTCTCACTCATGTCTCCCTCTCTCTATCTCTCACTCTTGTCTCTCTCTTTCTCTCCTCTCACTCTTGTCTCTCTTTCTCTCCTCTCACTCATGTCTCTTTCTCTCACTCATGTCTCTCTCTATCTCTCTCTCTCACTCATGTCTCCCTCTCTCTCTCTCTCTCTCACTCATGTCTCTCTCTATCTTTCTCTCTCACTCATGTCTCTCAGTCTCTCTCTCTCTCTCCTGGTCTCTGTCTGTGGATGTGAAGAGGCGCAGCCAATGAACGCGCTCGGTTTGCTAAAAGCTGCCCTGTGATTGGCTGCGGGGCAAATGGCTGCGACACAAAGGAGCGGAGCGGGTGTGAGACCAGAGCAGAGCGCGGCACCCGCAGCCAACAGGCAAACAGGCAGCCGGCAGGCAGGGCACCAGGCAGCCACACAGGCAGGGCACCAGGCAGCCACACAGGCAGGGCACCAGGCAGCCACACAGGCAGGGCACCGGGCAGCCACACAGGCAGGGCACCAGACAGGCAGACAGGCAGGGCACCAGACAGGCAGCCAGGCAGGGCACCAGACAGGCAGAGCACCAGACAGGCAGCCAGTCAGGGCACCAGATAGGCAGCCAGGCAGGGCACCAGGCAGCCAGGCAGGGCACCATACAGGCAGCCAATCAGGGCACCAGACAGGCAGCCAGTCAGGGCACCAGATAGGCAGCCAGGCAGGGCACCAGGCAACCAGACAGGCAGCCAGGCAGGGCACCAGATAGGCAGCCAGGCAGGGCACCAGGCAACCAGACAGGCAGCCAGTCAGGGCACCAGATAGGCAGCCAGGCAGGGCACCAGGCAACCAGACAGGCAGCCAATCAGGGCACCATACAGGCAGCCAATCAGGGCACCAGACAGGCAGCCAGGCAGGGCACCAGATAGGCAGCCAGTCAGGGCACCAGACAGGCAGCCAGGCAGGGCACCAGACAGGCAGCCAGGCAGGGCACCAGACAGGCAGCCAGGCAGGGCACCAGACAGGCAGCCAGGCAGGGCACCAGACAGGCAGCCAGGCAGGGCACCAGACAGGCAGCCAGGCAGGGCACCAGACAGGCAGCCAGGCAGGGCACCAGACAGGCAGCCAGGCAGGGCACCAGACAGGCAGCCAGGCAGGGCACCAGGCAGGACGGCGGGCACCAGCCAGGGTAGAACGGGCAAAAGGCAGACAGGGAGGGAAGGCACCAGCGGGGCAGGCGGGGAGGGAGGAAGGGCACCAGGCACCCACCAACCATACAACCACCCACCCATCAGGCACCCACCTGGTGCTGCCCCCGGCACCAGGCACCAGCTCCCGGCGCGGCAGCGGGTACCCGGCGCGGCTCAGCGCCGCACAGACATGCAGTTCGCCTCTCACTCAGTCACTCACTCAGTCACTCACTCCGCCTCAGGGGCAATGCCACAAACAGCGAGAGCGGCAGCGGCAGCAATGCCGAGATTACAGTGTTAGATCACACGGAGGGAGACCCACAGCCTCAGTGCAGATCGTAAGTACAACAATACTGTTGTGTGTAATAGCGACTCGTAGCAAATCACCCGGAGATCGCGTCTTTGTAAAGATTTGGGTATTTGGCGACCAGGGAAAACCCACTGGGTTTGCAAATCTCTCCCCCCCCACAACAAAAATACCTCTCGACCCTCTCACCCCCTCCTTTGTGACTGTCGGGTAACTCGGAGATTAAAATAAAACAAAGCAGATGTTTGCAATATAGCTTTTAATTCGCCTTCATTGGAAACTTTTAGACGATTTCGTTACATACAACACCCTCCCCCTCCCCTCTCCCCCCACTTTCCCCCCCTTCCCCTCCCCAAAAAATAAATAAATGCAAAACAAACGATTTGGGGGGGGGGAGAGGTTTTTTTTGGGGGGGGGAGGGGGGTCAAAAAATAGGGAAGCATTGAAATAAATGCAGTTGATTTTTCCCCAGTGACTCAAATCATACTAACTTGAGCTTGTAAAATAGCTACAAGTTTTTTTTTGAGTGTGTGAGTGAGTGAGTGAGTGTGTGTGTGTGTGTGAGTGTGTGTTGCCTTTTAAGTTGAGTTGGGAAGCACAGACACGTCTGTCGATCAGGAAAATATATATATATTTATGTGTGTGTCTCTCTCTGTCTCAGTCTCTATTTGCCCCTCACTCACCCCCTCCCCTTATCCCACTGCCAGTCAGTGCAGCTGATTTTTTTAAAAAAAAGAAATTATGTATATAATTATATATACAATCACATTATATAGTACGTTATATCATTCATAACACACACAATAGTTTTTTTTCTTTTTTTTTAAAAAAAATCTCTCTCCAGATTTTATGAAACGTTTTAAACGTGAGAGGTATTTTTGTTTTTCATTTGATTTGGGATGATGTGTGTGCAGTGTGTGTGTGTGTGTGTGTGTGTGAAGATCCAATAACTTGCAGCAACACTGACCACCAAACTAATGCAGAATCCTCCTCTATTTTTTTTCCTTTTTTCTTTTTTTTTGCAAAAAAAAAGAGACCAGATCAGTTTTCTGATACATTTGTCACCGATTTTTTTTTGTTCTCACATCACATCGAGCTGCAGGGAGCCTGGGCTTCACGTGATTGAAGCTCGAACTGTAACAAAATAGCTCCTTTTAGATGGTTGGTTGTTGAACCCCCCCCCAACCACCACCACACACACACACACACACACATACACACTCCTCCTTTCTCTCTTTCTCCTTCCCTCCCTCCCTCCCTCCCTCCCTCTCTGCAAATCCATCAACAATTCATTACAACTTTTAGCTCTAAACGCCAGCTAATTAAACTGTGTAGCTCCTAATCCGAGTACAAGATGACAGAAACTGGTAAGCAGAAAATCCTCAACATTTATCAAAAAAAACCCACCCTAAATGATCTTACCTTCCCCCCCCCCCTCCCTTCCTCCTTCCCTCTCTCCTACCCTCTCACCTTACTGCTATGCCTTCTCCCCCCCCCCCACTCCCCTCCTTTAAAACCCTGTGTCTGGTCCCAGTGAAACTCTTGATCATAAAATAACCAAACACTGAGTGAGCGACCAGTCTTTCCCCTTCTCTCTCTCTCTCTCTCTCCCTCTCTCCTCTCTCTTGCTCTTTAATTTGTCTTTTGACACAGTTTGAGAAAACGCTGGTGCCACGTCCGGACACAATGTGTAATCCAGTCCAGGTTTCTTTTATTTTTTCCTCTTCTCCCCCCCCCCCCCTTCATTAATTTTTCCCAGGGTTAGCACATTCTGTCTTGTTTCATCCGGACGCCTGTAGTTCTCCAGCTCTCCCTCTCCTCTCCTCTCACACTCTCTCCCTCTCTCTTATTTTCATGGCATCATTTGCTTACTTACTAACCATCCTGATTGATGCCTCCAAAAGAGAAAAAAAAAGTATGGCAGTGAAGGTGGAATGGTGAAGTTTGCAAACTTTAGATGATTTATATATATATATATGTATATATGTATATATATATAAAGGTTATCATTTTTTTTTAAAAAAGAAAGAAGATAAATGCAGTTATTCTGCCCCTTTCTTTTTTTTTTGGATTTGGACGCGTGTGTGGACTTTAAATCTCTTTCCTGGTGTTTTTTTTAAACTGTGGAAAGCAAAGAATCCGATCTGTGTGGCAGTCAGTGAGGAGGAGGGACAGGCATCCAAGCGTTGTGTGGGGTTTCTGCTTTAAAAAAAACTTAGCGATGAGGTTTCTTCCCCTTTGCAATGTTATGCTTTTTTCCCCAGTAATATAATATTAACACAAGTCGTGGAGGATGCACTGAGCAATCATGCGCCCCCAACATGTTTTTTTTTATTTTGCTTTTTTTTTGTTGTTTAACACACACACACACACACACACATGTCTTGGATCGCGATGGGGGGGGAAAAAAAGGAGTGTTTAAGTGAATGGTTTTGAAGGTAAGGAAGAGCTGCATCATCACCCCTGGTGCATGTGTTTTATTTTAAGTTTGAATGGTTGCACTGATCTTTGTCAAACAACCTCATTTGCGGTCACTGGGGGCCACCCCTGGTGCAAATCTCATGGAGCGCGAATGGTGATTCATTTCATCCAGTCTTGACTGAAATCTAGGCTTTTTTTTTGCTATTGTTGCATTGGGGTTTTAACTTTTTGTGTCTTGTATTTTATTGTGCATTCAGCTCCACCCCCTCCCCCTCCCCCCCCCCCCACAACCACCCCCCTTCCCCCCCCCACGCCCCCCCCCCCCCCTCTGCATTTATGCTGAAAATCATTTTTTGTTGCAGTTTGTAGTTTTTGTTGCAGTTTGCATTTTTTAATTTTTTTAAAAAACAAACAGTTAATTTAAGTAGAAAAAAATAACGGTGAAGTTTGTTTTTGTTTTGATTTGGGGGTGGGGGGGGGGAAGAGAGAGGAGAATTGGGGAAATTGGTGGTGGGAGGAGGTGAGGGGGGTAAGAAAACTCATATTGGAAAGTTCAGACACATCAAACCCACGTGCAATTTAAAAAAAAAAGCAAAATATATAAGTGGGTGGGGTGGTGGGTAAGTGAGTGTGTGGTTTTTTTTTGGGTGGTGGGGGAGGAGAGATAAAACAATGTTGATTCCAATGCAACAACACGAAGATTTATTCCCCTCCCTCCCTTCCTCCTCTTCTTTTGCAGGAAATAATTTATTCCGATGTATGGATGGATCGTGGGGCTGGAAAATAAGAGCAAAGGAGGGAAGAAATCCTTATCTATGTGTCCTGTGATGGAGTTCCTTCTGTGTGTATAGATGCATACAATTCAAAATATATATATATAGAGAGAGAGAGAGAGAGAAAGATACACACATATATATATATATATATATATACATTCATAAGTAAGGGGTGAAACACGTGCAAGAGAAAAGCGAATGTCCTCTCAGATCCCAGGCAGTGAAGTTCATGCGGTTTTCATCCAAGAGATCCCATCTTCAGGATGTCAGTGAACATTGCCAATGTAACTGGGAAAGGTGTGGATCCGAGCGCAGCGGTTGAGACTTACGACAGCGGCGATGATTGGGAAATCGGCGTCGGCAATCTGATCATCGATCTGGACGCCGATCTGGAGAAGGACAGACAGAAACTGGAGATGCATAACTCAAGCGGCAGCAGCAGCAGCAGCAGCGGCAACAGTGGCAATAGCAGCAGCGGCGGCGGCGGCAATGCAACCACCAGCACCAGCAGCAGCAGCAGCAGCACTCAGGATTGCGGGGCAATAGCTCCGGGCGCTGCAGGCGGCTCGGCATCAGCCCTGGCCGACAGCCTGAAATTTACCCCCTCTCCCTCTCCCTCCTCCTCCTCCTCCGCCTCCTCCTCCTCTGCCGTGCAGCCGCCTCCCCAAGGGGGCCATTCCCACAAGGAGACGGGGGGCGGCAAGTGCAAAGTCAGAAGGAGCAAAACTTGCAAGGATGCCCATAAATCCGCGTGCACGGCCGGGCTGTACGGCATTCCCGAGAGCGGCAACGGCGGCGGCGGCAACAACGGCAAGAGGCAGGAAGTTCAAGGGCGCCCTGGAGAGGTTTGTGGCATGAGTTCAGCTCTGGGTCCGGCAGTGAGCGGCGGCGGCGGCGGCGGCGTCTGCAGTGGCGGTCATCACAACAACAACAACAACAGCGGCGGCGGCGGCGGCGCTGTGAGCGGCAGCAGCAAAGCCAAGGAGGACAAGCCGGGCCGGGCCCCCGGCAGGGCGGGCTGCAAGCGGGACAGGGACACCGCCAGGTCCCGCAAGGAGCCCGGCAGCAAGCCCGGGGAGGCGGGGCAGCAGCAGCCGGTGCCGGGCGGACCCGGACCCGGACCCGGACCCGGCGCCGCTCACCACCACCACCACCACCACCTCTATGGCTTCGGTCCCAAAAGCAACGGCGGCGGCGGCGGAGGGTCCTATCCCTGCGGTGGTGCCGGCGGGGAGCCCCCGCCCCGCGGGCAGGACGGTCAGGGCGGCCCGCACTCCGCCACACTGACCGGCGGCACCGGCGCGGCCAAGAGAGAGGGTCCGGAGCCCGGGGAGGAGCCCGCCCGCCCCGCCAAGAGACCCAGACCCGAGAAGGTAACCCACCCCCCGGGGCTCTGCTGTCCCGCTGCCGCATTGCTTTATTATTATTATTATTATTATTATTATTATGTCTACATGATATCAGCTTGTGTGCATATATATATATATACACACACACGTGTGTGTGTGTGTGTGTGTGTCAGGTGTTTGCTGGGTTGCTTTTTCTTTATATGCAATGTACATAATATATATATATGTTATATATACAAATATATATGTTATATATATATACATATATGTTATATATATAAATACATATATGTTATATATATATATAATATATATATGTGTGTGTAAGTGCACCATGCAATCTGCTTTAAATATTCTAAGTGTCACTGTTGCAATCCATCCATCCATCAGTGGGTTGTTGCAAAGTTCAAGAACAACCTTTAAAAAGAGCAAAGTAATAATACAGTCAGGTGTAATGTGTTGGGAGGGGGGGGGGGGGGGAGAGTTCTTTTTTTAACCCCCCCCCCCCCCCACCACCCTTCTCCCAAAGAAATTGTGATTTCATAAACCTTTAAAAGGTGTGCGCGCGTGTGTGCTTTGGGCTTATTTTTTTTTAAAAAAAGAGGAGAAAGCAAAGGTCCCTTTTCTATTAGAATATGAACCCGCAAGTCACAAGCCCCAGTTTGCTGACAGCACTCTCTCCTGTTAAAAGGATTTGTGGTTAGCAATGCCTAACTGTTGACATTGTCACTGGCGACACAGAGAATGATTCATTGGTGGATGTAGGTGATGTGTGTTTAAAATGATAGCCTCGATTACAGGGAAGATTGTGTGTGGGAGGAGTGCGTGTGGAGGGGGGGGGGAAGAAGCATTAGTTCCCATTTTTCCCTGTTCAATAACAGGGATGTTGTTATTATCCTATGAACAATGGAATAAAATCCCACAGCTGGAGCAAAACCCCCAGGTTGTTATCACTGTAATCTCCAGTGTTTGCCTGAAGGGTGGGGGAGGTGCTTTGTAGTCAAACAGGACACTAAACGCCTGCATTAAAGCTGCACAGGGCCATCGTGCCTTTCAAGAATGCAGAGATGCATAGATATCCGGATGGGTAGATGAGATGGTATTTTATGAAACACAGAAAGTAGGGGCAGCGATGATCTTTATCCTGAAGGTCCAGTGTGAAAGGGACGGGAAAGTTTGCCCTCGCCTCCCCCCCCCCTCCCTCTCATTGTTAGAGTGCAGCCAGGCTGCCGGTATGTTGGTAATTATCCAAAGACTATGCAGTTTCTTAGGCGGCTGTGACCCATTGTTTGTTGGATAATTATAGGTCAGAGGAATTGTGCTGCTTTGCGAAGCTCGCTTATCCTTGTGAGTGCTGGCCTGCGAAACAATTTCCTGAGCATTCCAGAGAGAGAGCGAGCGAGCGAGAGAGAGGGGAGTGTGGAAACCCTGCAGGTTCCTTATTTGCAACGAAAATGTTTTGATTAATGCCTACACAATAGTCCCTAAATGTCTAAAACTGCCTGCTTTGTGCTGGTGTGCCCACACAGTGACTTTGTGTGTTCCCCTGCACCATTTTAGATGGAGGAAAAGTTGAATGAATTAAGTTCTTTCACACTAATTGCTTCCCTTTTAATATAGTTTACTGGGCACCCTGTGATCTCTCGTCCCATTCTATTCAATAAATTGATTTCCCTGGGATGGAAGTGGTCAGTGGAGTTGAAGAGGATTTTGTTCCAGTGCATAATAGGGTAAAGTGAATTCCCAGCTTGTTGAGGTGATGACCTTTGCATTTCTGCAGATCCTATTGTTGGAAACGTTAGACACCAGTGAGATCGGGCGGTTTGAAGATGGTGTTTTATTTGATGAATTTTATTGCTGGGGGAAACAGTTTCAAGGAGATACCGAGATGTTAATAAAGATTTAAGCAGGAAGGTGCAGAGGCTAATGTTCCGCAGTCTATTAGTCACGAGAAGGGCATCTAAACAGATTTGGAATGAAAAAGCGACTAACTGGCAAAGTGTTTCACATTCCTTGACAACTCCCCAATCAAATCATTTTACCTCAGTCTCCATCCAACAGGCAGCAAATTGGGAGCTGTTTTAATCTGCTTCAGACAGATACCAAGTTAGCTTGGCCTCGATCAGTTTTCCTCATTGGCTGTGGTTAAAGCTTCAGCACCATTTTATAAGATTCAATTGGCTACTTGGAATGCATAAACGACCGACCTTTGCATTCCTCCCCCCCCACCCACCGCAATCGCTCTTTAATCTTTCAGCCAAAATGTTCATATTAAACAGTTTTGTTTAACAAAGCGATCTGTACATTTTCAAATCCTGGAGGCAGGTGTCATGGTAACAAAGATTAGAGTGGCGTGGTTTCACCACTCAAGCAGTCTCCTGGGGGAACTGTTTTTAGTGCAAAGATTCCTCAAAACAATCAAGAATGTATTGTGTACAAAAACAGTGCTTTGCTGATAGTCAGTGAGTCATGTAAAAAAATGTCCAGTATCACACTGCTGCTCACTTATCGTGATCCTTCCAAGAGATAATTGACAAGCACATTCTTCTAAACATACTCGCAGGGTTGTTTTTTCCTGCAGACTATGCCCAGGATCATTCAGGTTTAAACCTTCAAGTGCACGAAGTGTGTAAGGCTCAAAGGACATGAACTGGTAGGGTGCCCACATACTCTTGCATCCTGTACTTTGTTATTCATCTGAAAGGTGGAAGCACTTCTCACTGGATCATGTTGTAACAGGAGGTGAAATATTTGTACAGTTGGCAGTTTTAAAATTAGGTGAAGACAAATGTGTCCAACTGCATTGCTAAAAGATAAAAGGTGGAGAGTTGTAGTAATTGTTTAATGTGTTCAGTGTGTTTGCAGGTCTGCTTTTGGCCTGTTTATTCTGTTCCATCCCTGCAGTTAGTCATGTAAAACTGATAAATTGGAGCCGATTATAACTAATTATTCTGTGACTCTGTTTCTGCCGGTCTTTTATGCAGAAAACCACAAATATGCTGTGAAACTTGCCACTCCCCATGTGTGTAGCTCAAGCGAAAGGCAGCCTATAATTCCAGTTGTTTGTGCTATTTCTAGGTAGTCCATTTTTGTGGTTTCACTGTTATTAAACATGCCTGACTTAAGTGCATTTGGCAAACCAATAATCAGCTACTCCTAGGGTTTTGAAAATATGAACAGGAATAGGTCATTCAGCCTGTCAAGCCTGCTGCACCATTTTTTGAGATCAGGCTGATCTGCATCTCAACAATATACGGTATGCTTTCTAATTTTAGATTAGATAATAAAGATTTGCCCACAACCAACTCTTTTACCTATACAGTGTTAAATAAGGCTCTGCAATTTAGTTTATATTGCATTAATGGGAACCAAATTGTGCTTTTCACTGGGTCAAAGACCTTAGTGATAAGGACAACTAACTAGGTGGTTAGCCAGTTAAATGTATGATGAAAAAGTACATTACTGGGATGCAGAGCACAACTGGAAAGCCCCCCAGTGTTCCACAAGCTGTAGAACAGAGCAGATTTTCAAGTGGTGGAGAGTTTACCATAGAAAGTATGTTGGTTAGCAGAGGTTCGAGAGTCCTTGCAGGGTCTGTTAATATCTCAGCGTGGAATTTGTCACCTTTTTAAAAGTGCTGCAGTGGTATATTTCACAGCTGAGAATTGCATCCACAAATGACTTGACATGTCACTGATGCGAGCAATCACATCACGCCAATAAGTAAGTTAAAATAAATTGGAGCCATATATGCATTTTCTGACGGGGACTGTCTTTTTGTGTGTTTGTTTTTGTTCTTCCTGCTTAGTTAATAGACACATGTTTGCATATACCTTCCTGTCCTTTGTTGAGCTGCTGTAATTTGGCTGTTGCAATTCTGCAGCAAAGGACTGCGAATGGTAAGCAGCTATAATGAAGAAAACAAAGGACAGATTTGTTTGAATGCAAGTGGTTTTAAAAGCTGACTAAAACTCTGCAAGAAGAGATTTGACTGGTGAATGGTACCACAAACTAGCATGAGTTCCTGTAGAACAAAAAAAACTCTTCAGGCTACTTAATGCTTTGTAGCTTTGAATAGTTTCACCGTAGCTCTTTCAAAGTGGGTGAACGAGTTGGTGCCCTTTGACTACTGAGAGCTTTCTGGGCGAACTTGTGTTGACCTCCCAAGGTCTTTGGGCTGAGAAACGCTATTGAATTTTTTTCTGCTAATGAGCTGGATTTCTAATAACTACAGTTGCATGATGACCTTCTGTCCAAAGAGCGTGGAAGTATTTTGGGGGGGATGCAAAAGTCAACCTCATAGAACAACTTATCTACTGTTTTATTAGTTGTCTCTTCTCAATTAAGTTTTAACGGTCCACTCGTTTGCAACTTGTGCCTTAAACGTTGTAGCTACATGTTTTTTAGAGGCCAGCGTAACAGGGTAGTTAGAACAAAGAAGATCATGTGAATCTTTGTACAGAGGTTGGTGAGGCAGAGGATAGGATGCGTTTTTGTTTAGCACTGTCTTTTAATAACTAGAATAGATCGAGTGCTAGGAATCTGATATATGCCTGCAATTTTGTGCAGAGCTAAAATGAGAAAAATGAAGATGAATTTGAATTGACAGCCAACCTTTAGAAGGTTGCTTTGAGTTGTGCATTTTGTACAGGCTTGCTTACTTATTCTGAGGCACTAATAATAACCCATTGAGACGCCAAAATACAGAAAGCTAATTACAGGTTTGTTAAGATCTGTAAAATATTCCAATCCGAGGGTACTCCTACTACTACTACTACAACAACGACAACAACAAAAAAATTACATTTGTAAAGTGGCTTTCACGTCGGGAGAACGTCCCACTCTACAATTGAACTCAGTAGGGTGGAATGATGCAAAAACAGGGAGGACTCCTGAGCACAGTTGCATGTTTCGCGTGCAAAATATACAGTCAATTGAATTTACAGAATATTCTGTGAAGAGTTTTCAGACGTCTCAAACGTAATAAGGCGCTAGTATCGAATGCACAGATTATTATTATGACT